CAGCACTCTTTCCTGCCTATGCAGGGGGTCGGACTCGATGATCTATTGAGGTCCCTTCCGACCCTAACATCTATGAATCTATGAATCCACCTAGCTATATAGCTTGCAGTAATGCAGATGCGAGATCAAATGCTACCCCAGCCACAGGAGTTTCCTCTGGGATTTCTCTGATATTGCTCTACCCTGCACCCTATTCTAACCCTACCCTCTGTAACCAATTAAGTTCTCCTTTGTGACTGGCATAGGAGACTTATTGAGGGGTGGGTTTAATTATGCCCAGGCGGCCACTTGGGTCTGCGGACTAAGGGAGACTATCCTTTTTGGCCCCGACTTGGGGAAGTGCCCTAAGTTCTTGTATTGGGTCGAGTACCTGTAGGACTATTAGGCCTGTGTTTCTCTGAGGACGCCCCTAACAGTCATTTCTCGGGGTGGTGGCAGCACACGTTACCCCCCGGACTCTGTGGTGGGGCTCGAAAGGGAGTCTGCCAGGGCTTAGGTGCTCCTGGAGAGACACGTGGAGTCCGGCAGGTGGACGGGCATAGTGAGGTGGGAGGCTCAATGCAGGAGCTCTCCTTACTGGCCCACCACACGTGGTGGTAGTGGTGGGATCTGAATACCCTGCTGTATTAGAGGCATAATTTGGGAAAAGGAATAGAGTCACTGAAAACCCTTGAGCTGTCAAATTTCTAATTTGGCATCGGGTCAACTGGACAGTGTAGATAGCTAGGATGGCTGACAAGTATGACCACATGACAGTGGCCGACTTGAAAGAGCTGGCGAAAGAGAGAGGCCTTCATGTGAAGAAAGGGCTAAAGAAGGAAGAGCTGATTAAAGTCCTGTGCGACAATGACTCAGCCACAGAGCCACCTTCATGCATGCCAACTCCTGGGTCTTCCCCAGAATCACATCCCCACACACCAAGTCCGGAGCCCTCTGAGGGATCACCCCCTGCGGAGAAGCGCTGGAGGTACTAGATGCGGCTAGAAGCTGAGGAGCGAGAGAGCAAGGGCAAGTATGAGCTAGAATTGAAAAGGAAGGAGCACGGGAAGGAACAGCGTCAGCACGAGAAGGAACAGCATGAGCATGAGCTTGCAGTAATCCAAATGCAGGGAAATGCTAACACCGCAGGTGCCCAGCCTGCACAAGATGCATCCCCCAGGCTGAACACTCCGATCTTCTCTTGCTACAAAGACGGGGATGATCCAGAAGTGTTCCTTAGCATCTTCGAAAACCAAGCATGCCGATGGAAGTTGCCAAAGGAAGAGTTCATGAAACACATGGCTGCTCTGGTCGAGGGCGACATGTCTGTGGTCCTGGACAGCCTGCCCTTGGAATCAGCAGATAACTATGATGCTTTTAAAAACGCCGTGTCTTCAAGGTTCAAGTTAGGACCGGATTATTTCTGGAAGAAATTCCGGAATATCCGCCCACAACCCTAGAAGAAAATGGCCGATTTTGCGGCCCTGGTGTGGGACGCACTCCTTAAATGGGCAGAAGGAGCCAAGGCTGACAATTTAGAGAAGGTGCTACACTTCATGGTGCTGGACCAGTTTTATTACTGCTGCCCGAGGGAGATTAAAACCCTAGTCAAAGCAGGGCCCCCAAAACTATCCAAGAGGCCGCTGAAATTGCGGATCAGCTGTTGCTAAATCGTGAGGAGCCAGACAAGAAGCCTCCCTACTTTGGGAAGGAACAGAAAGGGTTCCAAAGATGGGGGAAGGGAGGTCCAGGTCCAAAAGGGGAAAGAGGGCCACCTCCTGTTGAGCGCAAGGTGGCCCCAGATTCGGGCAAACCTCCCAATTCAGAAAAGAGGGGGTGCTATAACTGTGGGGAACCAGGCCACATCAGGCCCAATTGCTCAAAGCTAAGCAACAAACCCAAGCCCATCAGACATGCAACAGCTGTAAGCAGTGAGGAGAGAGACCCGAGCCACTCAGGGGTGTGCCTGTTGCTGCAGGATTACAAACCCAGAGGAGGTGACGGCCTTTCACTGGACTAATATAATGGTACATGGGAGAACCCTTGTTGGAAAACTGGACACAGGGTCCAGTGTGTCATTAATTAATGCTAACCTTGTTTCCCCTGCAGATATAGCCCCGGGGAGGACACTTACCATTCAAGGGGTGGGGTACCTGCGTTTTGAGGTACCTGTAACACGTCCCCCCATCGAGTGGAGAGGCTGCGGGATGTGCATAGAAATGGGGGTGCTGGAAGGGGCTCCTGTCCCCATCCTGGTGGGATGTGATATTATGGAGCTAGACTACCTGCACAGGGAGGAGGGCTGTGGCAGAAATGTCACCATCTGTCTCTCTCTCCAGAAACCTGTCCCGGTCAGCTTGGGACACTGGGGTCAAATTCCTAAGGGAGGGGGGATTTCCCTCCCTGCCTACGTGACAAAAGCCTGGTGCCGAGGGTGCAGTCCCTCTGGTCACCTGGGTGGGGGGAGGGAAAAGCCCCTGCTCATCTGCCCAGGTACCCAGTGATGCTTTTTAAATTGGTTGGCTAGTTGCCAACACTGCTGGCTTCTATTGGACTGAGCTGCTGAGGTCAGAAAGGCTATATAAGAGCCTGGTCCAAGGAGAAGGGGGAGAAGCCATTTTTCCAGCATGACACAAGCATCAGGACACAGGGAGAGAGTCTGATCCAACCGAAACGCTCTCTCTCTGGAAATCTCCGAGCCAGATCTCTACCATCTTCTGCACGATACTTGTAAGTGTTTCTAGAGCTAGTCAGCGCCCAGCGATGCATTTGCATATCAAACGGCGACCTCAGCCAGACTGCTTTGCTCAGTGGTAATCCCTTGATAGTGCTCTACCTCTTACCCTCTTCTACCCCTACCCTCTGTAACCAATACCGTTCTCCTTTGTGACTGGTGTAGGAGACTTATTGAGGGGTGGGTTTAATTATGCCCAGGAGGCCCCTTGGGTCTGCCAACTAAGGGAGACTGTCCTTTTTGGCCCCCAACTTGGGGAAGTGCCCCAAGTTCTTGTATTGGGTCGAGTACCCGTAGGACTATTAGGCTTGTGTTTCCCCGAGGACGCAGGACCAAGGCAGTCCCTTCTCAGGGTGGTGGCAGCACACGTTACCCCCGGACTCTGCAGTGGGGCTCGAAACGGGGTCTGCCAGGGCTTAGGCACCCTTGGAGAGACACGCGGAGTCTGGCAGGTGGATGGCGTAGTGAAGTGGAAGGCTCAACACAGG